CTGACTAAACTCTACGTGTCATACAAACGCTTTTCGCATTAAACTTTATCGGGAGCACGCCATTTAATACTTACACCGTGGTAATGGGGTGTCAGAAATTTCGGTTATGAAGAAACCGTAAGACAGGTATTATAAGCAATTAATTTCCAGATGTTTACAATAATTATTATTAACAATTTTTCAGTCTAGCTCCTAACTGGCACTTAATGGAAACTTAAAACGAAAAAATGTCCAAGTATGAAAAATACGGTTATTTTCAAATACTTTTATTTTCGAAGATGGCTGTCTTCTGCGTCGTAGCGTCGTGGAGTCTGGCAGAAGTTTACCGACATTTCAGAGGTGCTTGCTGCCTCCACTATCAGGGCGACTGCCCTTGACAGGGGCGCTTTCGCCTTGGGGGGAATCTGTCGAAGCGTGAAGATGGCAACTGACCTCCATGTGGTATCGAGGTTGAAAATACGCGGAGTTTTACCTTCACATTCTCCGTACACCATTATCGCTTCGTGAATCACAAATGGATGTAGGCCTGTTTGAAAGAACGAGAACACTACGAATGGGCTCAGACTTCTCTCCGTGTAATCGCAGCTCGCTTGACCAGCGTCGCGTAGCTATCATTTCTTACGGTGCTTCACATGGAGAGTACACCTACTGAGCAAAGCAGCACACCTCTCAAATTTCTTAAAGATTGTCCCGTTTCTGCTTCACATACGCTGTCGCTCTCTGAGTGAAACGAATTCCAATTCCGAAATAGAAAATTCAATGATATAATGAACTGACTAATCTAATTATGAATACATTATAAAGCAAATACAATTATAATAGGCCTATCGTTAAATTAAATTATAAAGATGGATGTCTTCTGGGTTGTTACGCCGTGTAGTCTGGTAGAAGTTTACCGACGTTTCAGAGGTCTTTGCTGCCTCCATCATCAGGGCGATGAGTGAACTCACAAGATACTGGAAATCAGCATGTGTTACAATTTATATACTTCGTACATGTTTAGTCGAACATCAAGATATAAACGAAAAATTGTTCCAAAATAATATAGTTTTTTTAAAATTAATATCATTATCGCGGTATATCAAATACATGTTTGCAATTGTTATTTACGTTTGATGATGATCATTATAATCAGACATGCGACGTGGAAAATATATCCGCTACTTGCATTAACGGCACTAAATCATGGAGGTCTGCTCATTTCGGATCCTAACATGTTCGGACCAAGCAGCGGGTTGTTAACTTAATTAATTCACAAACCCCGATGTTTCACCCCATGTGAATTATATCACACTTAAGTGAGTTTACTCAACAGCGGGCAAAGTGTTTACTGCATAAAACCAAGCAAATGAAACATCAGAAGTTTCCTTCCTACTAGGGACGTTCACTGCGATGTATCGAAGGCCTGTGCGTTAAAGTGTCTGAATCATTGTAATTAGGTCTACTTTCCCTGATCGATTCTCTTCGTCAGTTATCTAACACAAGTGTTCCGTGGTCTTCCAGGTAGATACAAACGATTTGGAGAAACTACTTCCTCCATTTTCAGGGTTTACGACGGAGAAGTACGTTCCTCCGAAACGTTTGTATCTACCTGTGAGACCAACTGGCTTTTGTACCCAGAATATCAACATCGATAAT